TGGCCCACTCATTTGGTTAAAACCTAGGGCCTTCTTATCGTATGTTATTAAAATATGTAAGAAATGACATATATATGTAAAATATTAAACAAGGGTTTAGGGGATAATTGAGCTATGATTAACAATTATTTATTTAGTGCCGCTTTTTTGAAATATTTTATTATTCAGAATAATAATATAACATGATTTTAATTATATTAGAAATGATGAATGATAAAATTTTGCGAATAAAATGAAGAGTTGCAAAAGCAATACAAATAATTATGTGGTTCGGCTCAAGTAAATCTATGACCACTATATTCTAATTAAGTATGAGCATTCATGGGTCATGCTCCACAATAGGCCTTCTGGGTCTGGGTCAGCCCATACTCAGCTCAACTACCCAACTCGTCGATGTGCCAATTGTCTTGCATTAAATGCTGAGCTGACCTGTTGAACTATTTGATGAACTAGCTTATCGAATTGGTATAACCTTTTCGTCTGACAAAGCTCACTTCGACAACTTCACACTTCAATGATCCTCATAATTATAAGAATAGAAAAATCAGAAATTTACACAAAAGATTGACATATGTCAAATCCTCATTTTATAAGCTGCTTGACACGCACGCCACGATCCTTTCATTAAATCACCCTGGACTAACTTTTATACGTCACAACTTGTATTTTACTATTTTTCTTGTTTAGAGAGAGAGAGAGAGAGAGAGAGAGAGAGAGAGAGAGAGGTCCGGACCTTTTAAAGAAGAGACTTTGCATCATAACACCGACAGAACCCTTTGGGTCATTTCTTTCTACTAGTTCATCTCCTTCGCTCCATCAGAGGAAATCAGACGGCAGGACGTATAGTTCGGGCCTAAAAGATATATCCATCCTCTTCTCCCCACCTTCCTTAAAAGGTCTTTTTGGGTTGTATAAACTCACGAATATTAAGAATTCAAAATCTACAATGCACGAAGATGGAATAATCCATTAAATTTTTACTCATATAAAACTAAAAATATGACGAGATATTCATTTAATTAAAACTTTTTTTAAAAAAAAGGGGGAAGAACTCTTATTGTTTTTTTGTTGTAGGATAGTGTATAGGTGTGAATTGCATGGATTTATATAGAGAATATTTTGACTTTTAATAATAATATTCAATTTTCATTGAATGTTTTTATAGCCTGCATTATAGACTTTTTGATTGCTTTTACTTAGAATTTTATGAGAGGTTAGGATAAGAGATTTATGGTACAAAGCAATTTAAAAAGAAAAAAATTACATAAATATCACATAATTCTTATGTATTTTCATATCTAACATCTAAAGTTTGTTATTTTTATTTAGTCTAATCTATGTATCCTAAACTTTTTAAGATTTAAAAGCTAGATTCTAAAAAAAACTAAATAAATTTTAAGATTTAAAATAAAAGATGAGGATACATATTGATACGTCATCAACAAATTTTCATCATCCGGCAGGAATCTCGAGACGATATTTTAAGCAGGAAATATTCAAATCTTGATAAAAAGTTATCCAGAGCTCCGATTTCAGCAAACTTATAGTTAAATTGTCCGGCTAGATGAGACAGACCTAATTATATAAAAACCAGCTCAATCCGAGTCAAATCAAGCCCAGATCAACTCATTGAACAACATTTAGATGATTTCCGGACACATTTAGAAGGTCAAACGGTTATCATATATGACAAGTTTATACTCGAATTGAGCGTCTCGACAAGACAAATCTAACAAGCCCAAAATCACTTAATTCGGACATCATTAAGACACTCAAATGTCTATTAAACATTGTATGATCGGAGGAAGCTCTATGGACCGCCCAATCAAAATATTTTATATACTTGCATTAATGACATTAAGAATATTATAAATAGAGCCCCACCCCTCACATGAGGAGGGGGACTTAAGGCTTCAGAGAGAATTGAAAGCTCTGAGAAGGAGCTGAAGTCCAACATCATCCCGACCGTCGTCAACCACTGTCAGCCGTCGTCAACACCCATTGATCGTCGTCAACCACCGCCGACCAAATGCTGTCGGTCAACATTGTAACTTGGAAAATCTAGTAACCTCTCCCGTGTGTAGGAAAAGAGCTCACTACTACGATCAATGTGCTAACAACCTACACGGTCATCAGCTCATGCAGTTCCCGACTTTGGCCCCAACGACCTACGAATGTCATCAATACTCGCCCCAATGGCCTACGTAGTAATAAGATCATACAGTTCTTGAATCTAACACCAACGGCCTACGAACGTCATCAATATTCACCCCAACGACCTATGTGGTCATCAGTTCATGCAGCTCTTGAATCCAGCCCTCGCGGTCTACGAACGTCATTAATGCTCGACAACTACAATCTACGTGATTGACAGTTCCCGTAACTGCTTACTATGAGTTCTCTGGCCAATCAACGCTTTTGGAGCAACAATCTACTATACTCACGATGAAATACTATCTACACAACTATCAACAATGACTCATGCAACCTGCTGTCACAAAGAAAACTATAAAATTATAGTCATACAATTTTATAATTTCATCTTTCCTAATTAAGTAGAAGAATGTACATGTGTACTCATCATTCATAGTAGACTATTTCAACCGGGCTAGGCCCCGTGGTTTTTCCCCCTTTCAAGGGTTTTTCAGCCTTTCAAGGGTTTTTCAGCTTTCAAGGGTTTTTCAGGTAAAAAGTTGTGGGGTCTCCTCCTGCTTACTTCTTTTTTTTTTCTTTTATCTGTGTGTGTTGAATTCTCGTGTAACTCTAAGAAGATAATCCATTACTTTACCGCCCTCTACCGCTGCGAATTTTCTAGCACCCATCATATATATATATATATATATATATAACTTTATTGCATAAGCTTTCAAAATAAAATTATTTTATTACTTATTTAAGTTCTTTTTTTATTGAGGGAGCTGAAGCATTAGTAATTTTATGTCACTCTAAATTTGTTTCCGTACATATAACACTTTTAAATTCCTAAAATTGTAATATTTTTAAAATTATGACATTCCAACTAAAAACTAGAATTACTATATATATATATATATATATTAATCAATCAGTTCACAACGTTATAGATTTATATACCAAACATTTGAAGATAAAACTGAATGAGAAAGTTGCATTTTATAATCTGACATAGTACTATAAATGTTAGAAAGCTGCAATCTAACTTCTTGAAAAAAAAAAAATTTATAATGTTCACCACAGCTTTTTGAACAACAGATTCTTCTACAACAGGTTCATGACAGATTCTTGAAATAGTTTTAGGTGCTCCAAACAAATCATAAATTATCTCAAAAGAAGAAAGGTTGCCAGGAAGAAACCTCAAAAGATAAATAGAAATATTTTTATGTATTAAAATGAATTAAATGAAAGATATTAATTAATAAAAGAATATTAATGAATTTCAAACTGCCACAACTCAATAACTTAAAAAGCTTCTCACATAAAATAAATTAGGTGGCCTTCAAAATAAAATTTTTCTAAGAAGCTTTTATTTGGATAACGATTGATGTGCGTATGTGCCGCGTAGGTTGGTATTAACTTGTATAGGTTATTGGTTGTTTAAGTAGGTCAACAAACTACTTAAATTATATTTGGGCCTATGATGGCACCCACACACACATTTAGAAATAAATTCAATAATTATAAGAGATTTTTTATTGAATAAAAATTATATATAACTTTATGTTAAATTGAATATAACGAGTCAAGAGCCAATTTCGAGCTGGAACGATCCAACTAACTCAATTTGAGTCAGTCAGTTTAAATTTTGAGTAGTAACGAGCATAATCCGAGCTCAAATGGATCCAAATAACTCAATTTGAGCCAACTGGCTCTGATTTCGAGCTGAACCGAGCTTGATTAAATTTTAAACTAGCTCAGTTTAAAATTGAATATAATGAGCCACGAGCCAATTTCGAGCTGCAATAAATCTATTCGAGCCGACCCAAACACTGCTAGAAATGAGATCTTTAGAAACCCGACATATGTATGAAATACATCTTTCCATGCATAGATTTATGACAAATTATGTATTACAAGTTTAAATATCAAAATTTGGGTGTTAATATATAAATACATAAAAATTACATTATTGTTATTATTATTATTATTATTTGCTTCTCTTGATCCTAACTCCTGTAATAAAGAAAACCATGTGGGGGTTATCTGATCGAGTAAATCATTAAGAGAGTGCTTTAGCAAATGGGGAGCATCTGCCTCCATTAACGCCCTGCACAAGCTTCTAATACTCCACCTTTAATGCTTCACAATGCTCATTGGCCTCCATTTATTGCTAAATGAGACTTTTAATGCCTAATATTTGACCATTAACATTTTTATGAAAATTTTTTTGCTATTTTAACCCTTAACTTTTAATGCTTCAAAATGGTCATTGGCTATATTTTATTGCTAAATGAAGAAATAAATGCTCAGGAAATTCTCATCATTGAGTGCAAAACACAAATCATATGTATGCATGCTTATCATAATCCTCAACTTTTATGTATTTGCATATCTAACACCTAAACATTCATATTTACATTCATAGAAATACCACTATCACCATCAATTAGAAGTTAAATACACCTCTTGACGCATAGGTTTATGACACCAAAGTGTGATAAAACTATGCTGTAGCCTGTTTAAGAATAAAAGAAGTTGAGGAAAATGACATGACATCAAATTCCAATCTATTTACATATCTAACACCTAAAGTTTGTTTTTTTACATTTATACCACCCAAATCTTTTATCACAAAAAAGAAAAAAACACAGTTTTTTTAAAAAAGTGAAACACATCTTTTGCGTGCATAGGAATAGTGGTATTTATGTAAAAATTGATGATTAGGTGTTAGATATGTAAATATATAAGAATTAAGTGGTATGTATGTAAATCTTTCCATAAAAGATTAATACAAGAGCTTCCACCCACAGATAAACCTGTATCAGCTCTAATACGACATCAAGGATTAAAGCATGTCTGGTTACTTGAACAAAATTAATCTATTTCATGGTTTCAGCAGTAATACTATACAAAACATCAACAGCCAGCCACAACAACACATCCCCTTCAGTATTTTAACCAAGGAATTATGGTCTGATCCACAATAAACTACATTTAATGGGATCTTTTTGTCACAAAAAATATATATATATTACATTAATGCAGATCAGGCTAATCTTCCAGGATCTGCTGCTTCTCAGTCTCATTGGCATTTGTTCCCAAACTATTTTCAGTGAAGCTTATGGAGTTATTGATGTTGCGGCATTGCGTTAATTGCTGTTGAAGGCTCTGGACAAGTAGATTGAGTCTCTGAATATTCTTCTCTTGAGATAAAATTATCTGACACAAATAAAAGAGCTTAAAAATGTAAAAAACACACAGCACAGTGATAAGTTACAAAATAAGAGCACAATCCAGTTAAAACAATGAAGTAGAAGGGTCTTTTTGGGGCAACTATAATTTGAAAATTAACGTTTGTTAAAAGAGAAATTCACACCTTCAGACGGTTGTAATATCATAATCAGCATCTTCTAAAGCAACTGATTAAAAAAAATGCATGAAGGAAAACAAAGTAAAAGGAAGAGGACTGCAATAAAAGACTAAAGCTTGAGCTTGCCGGAGGCGGAGAATTACAAACTCATTCATTCTTGTTTGTTTGTTTTTTTTCTTTTGCTTCTTTGGTGTTTGGCAGCCGGGTGCGGAGTGTAAATGCCATATAAAAGAATCATGAAAAAAAAAAAGAAGAAGCAAAATGAGGAGCTGGAAAAATAACCAAACAATAGGAAGATGGGTTTCAGTGGACTGCGGGGTTAGAAAAAAGTGATAGAATTGGAAGAAAGAATGCTGATGAGCGCAGTGAAGAAGTTTTGAATGAAACTTGCTTGGTTTTGAACCTTGAAATAAACATCAAAGCTAGAGAATATGGAGGGAATGGGATCTTGACATCACGGATTTGCAACTTGCAAGCACCTTTCGCTAACTCTTCATTAAAAAAAAAAAATACATCAAATTATAATACTAAAACCGTGAATTTAGATCATCACAGGCTCCCAAATTTTGGATTTAATGTACTTGATTCCTTATGAAAGTAACATTAAATCCAAGTGTTTCAATTAGATGAGGAGAAAATTGAACAAGTCGAGCCAACTGCTTTTAAGGTTAAATTTAGACACAACTTTGTAGAAACTGTATCACTTTTGCATAAGGATATAAAAATTGAATGGCCCTTACATGTTGTCGGTCAAATTTTTTCGATTGATTAGATTTATTTGAAAAATATGATATATGAAAATAATTTTTGAGATTTAATTTAAATATAAAAGATATATAGTTTGGGTTTTGAAAGTAGTATGTTTTAATTTTTGAAAAATAAGAACAAATGGATCTCATTCGTCTAATAGTTTGCATAATCGTGTCTGATACCGCGAATACTACACCCTCCCGAAAGATAAGTGTAGACCTCGGCGACAGACCCAATCCTGCAAACTAAGAGATTTGTGACATCCGTTTGGTCTGCGAACCTTTTTATGGTATCCGACAAGTTCCCCTATTTAATACAAAGATTAAATAGGATTTATTTTACCTGGGTTCCAAATTCCCTATAAAGGTAAGCCCCTATAGTTAATTACATCTCAAATGATTGAAGTCACTTGAGAAAACTCTCGATAATGATCAATGGTTCTAGTCTTCAAGATTTCAAGATTTAGGTTTTCACGGTAGGACATGAAAAAAAAACAAGTGGGAGTGACTCAAGTAGGAACAATTCTTTCAGGAATCCAAAGAAAAGAAAAGACAGGGGATGTCATAGATCATGAGGAGAAAACCTCAGTGACATCCCGAAATATCATACTATGTGGCTGCGTTTTTAGAAAAGATGTTATTTGAATGTTCAATCCTGCCAATTTTATTATTTGGGACTTATATTTGCATAATAATACCCGATTATGCAAATAACCCGCGACATTAAGAGGGTTTACGTCGTGTCACACGACAACCTCG